TGAGCACACTTTCCACGCTGAATTAGCAAGGTTCTTGTGATTACAGGCCAGCCTTTCACTTAAAAATAGATGCAAATTGTTTCCCTGCACAGACTAAGAATAGACAGCGATGTTCTTCTCACCCACTTAAAACCTCCAAAAAAGAACAAAGAAACAGTTTAATGGAAATTGACAGCTACAAAATCCTAACAGAGGGGAGAGGAGTCACTACTAAGTGCCAAGGCAGTCACAAGGCACTCCTCAGACATGAAATCAGCTGTGCAACACAGGCAACGTGGATGGCAGCTCCATGCTGTGATGCAAGATCCAGAGGTCAGACTGCAGGCACTGAGCTCACCCACACAATGCCACCCACTGCCACCTCAGCTCCCAGTTACAGCAGGCACACGTTGCACAACCATCTTCTGATAGAAGGATGCCATTCCCATCTTCCTTTAGCTTTTGATTTTGAGATTAAGCATAACCACGGAAAAGTGGGTGGAATGCATCAGTGACTTTAAGTATTTCCTCCAGCCAAGACAAATCCACGTGCAGTCAGACTGCCTAAGCTACAAAATCCAGTGGTGATCATGCTGTGGTGTTTATAAACTCCAACATTTTTGGGTCTGAGAGTTCCTAATACTCAAATACTCAGCTTTCTCTCTTTATTTTTACGTCTCAGTGTTTTCCTATTAATAGGATCACAGTCCTATGAATGTGCAACGCAAGTCTGACTTGTTTTGCCACCCACACCACATGCAATCCTACACTGCAGGCCGTTTGTATGTCAGGGCAGTCAGAAATAACTGAGCAGTGCAGAGAAAGCCTCACAACACACAGCCCTTCTGAAACAGCCCAGAGTAGTTTCCTTTGCAAGAAATGAGCTGCAAGAAATCTGAAACACTCTTTTCTTTCTCAGACAAGTTAAAAACCCATTTCTCTGCCACATCTGCTTTCAGGAGCCATTTCTACGTACCTGGTACAAAAACAGTCTCTCCTGGCTTCTGCAAGATCTCCAGGGGTTTGAATTCAGGAGGCCAGGTGGGAAGCTGTGTCCTGGGGTAGATGACGTTGAACCACGTGATGGCCTCGTCCTGCTGGTTGCCTCCCTCCTCCCGTGTCACTTTGATCAGCTCTCTGGGAGTGCTGGTGGGGAAGAGGCACCAACGCTTGTGTCCCTGCACCAAGGCGTTCCAGGCGCTGGTTCCCAAGGGGTCGATGTGAATTCCTGTTCCAGAACGAGGCGGGCCCATCACAAACCATCTGCACAACAGGAAAAAAGCCACAACCCTTCAGTCACAGAGCAAGCAGTAGCTGCTTTCTCTTCTCCTCACACACAGATTGATAGTTATAGCTGTTAATTCAGCATACGGTTAGAAACCAAGGGAGTCCCCTTGATTCCCTTCTCCATTTATCCTCAAATGATGCGATGTGGGTTTAACCTAAAAACCAACACCAACTGTGACAGGAAGGACTGCGAGCCAGGACAGTGAAGACAGCTTTTAAAAACGAAACACAGCTATGAAATAGAAACAGTTCTTTTCATACGTGCACTGACCTCAAGGTAGAAGCACTCCCATTTCTGCAGCAGTGTTTATGAATGCACTAAAGGCACAATGCTCTGCACCAGGGCTCTCATCATGCAGGAGGATTCTGCTAATCTTCTCCATTTCTAAAACTTGCTACTCATAAATGGAACCCAGAGGCACAGAACAATGAGGAACTAACAAAAGGCAACACAAGTAAGGAACAGAGTGAAGTTATGCAACCCTGGCTTCCTTCTATGCCTTCTGTTCATTTACAACAGGCTTTTTATTCCAATATTGAAGTAGCTGGGGATTATTCTCTGGTCAAGATTTGGTGTGGATGTTCTCATTCCTGATTTGTAAAGCTCGCTTCTTCTGATGGAGAAGTTTAGCTGCCACAGATGTTTAAACACAGCAGCACAAGAGCACTATTACAGCAGATAGAACAAACTGAATCAGGAGGCTTATTGCCACAAAGCAGAAGGAAAGGACAATATCTGCTTAGATGGAAGAAACTAAAGCAGCATGAATGTGAGCCTTCTTCCATCCAGACCCCCCTGTGGCTGTGGTACCAACAAGAGGAGCTCCAGGGGTCACAGCATCTCAAGTCACAAAACTCTCCAGCTCCCCTTCCCAACTCAGGTGTGAATTAAGCTGGTTTCCAATCACTGCACGCTAGCAGCAATGACTGCATTTGTGAATGGCTTCCTACTTCGTTAAGCAGCCGTCAATAAGAAGACATGCACATCTTCCTCTTATGATGAGGAAGTACAGCACCTGGTTGAATTTTCACTAAGCCATTAAACTGCTGAATGCTCTCCATCCATGTTTGTTTAGAGATACAAACTCCAGGTGAGGGCTGTAGCTGTGCCCTTTCACACCACTCAGAAAAAGGAGAACAGCCTCAAACCAACCCACTTTTTCCAGAACAAAGTGCAAGAATGCTTCCATCACAAGCAAGGAGTTCAGCTCATGCCTGTGGGCGTGGAGGGTGCAGGGGAGAGAAGTATCAGTGTGAGTCACAGCTGGGGTGTCTCCATCACTTGAAACTTCGATGGAGTTCTGTCACTGTACCTCAGTTACTGCTGGAGACTTACAGGGACCGCACGCACTGTGCTTTCACATTTGAGCACAGCACTGTATGCCCTTAGAATTCAGTGAGAAAAGTTCCTGCTACAACTTTGTTAAAAAAAAGCCTGAAAAACACAACTGAGCTATTATTTGTTAGTACCTCGTTCATATTTGCCCTATTTCATTAAAAATACCAACCCTCACCAGGACCTCACGTCACTCAGAGGGCAAGTCATTCTCTAGCAATTATCATGTGGCTGTAAAGACTTTAATTACAACTTATTCTCATAGCACTAGAAAGCATTGTATTAATGCAAATGGAAATTACTTTGTACCTAGGAGCCAATATGTAAGGTTGGTGCATTTCATTTCAGTAATCAAATGCAATTTCCTTCGCCTTCTAATCAGATAGGAAAAAAAAAGTTTGAAGACTAAATACATGCAAAAACATTATGCAGTATCATCATCATCTGAAGGGCAGCTAAGAAGTAACCTCCACTCTTCAAAGTAGTCTGTTTAAGATCTTCACCTTACAAGCACTGACCCATAATTAAATGAAGTCCTGCATTGTACATAAGCCAGAAGAAACCAAGAGCAAATCTTGAGGCATTTTGAATCTGAAGGCCAGAAGGCACTTCACACAGCAAGAAATTCATCTTGGTAACTTTCAAGCACTTGGCATTTATTCGTGGAAGAAAAATTAAGAAACCAACTGGTAAATAGATTGGTGACAGAACGAGAAATCCTGATTCACAAATCTGTTCTTCCCTTCTTGAGCATTGAAGGCTTATAAGCACTTCAGAACAGCAAACACAAAGCTACTGCTTCACTTTACACAACGCGATTTTACTTCAGAATAACCAGAGGCACAGGAAGGAACCTCAGCTGCCACTCTGCCATACCTGTAAGGCGGCCTTCGTTTCTCCCCCGCATACTGAAACAGATCATCAGTGAAGAACTTGGGTACTTTGTAGTCCTCCAGGAGTTTCCTGCGCTTGGGATGCTCTCCATAGCTGCTGTCAAATATGTACAGCGGGCTGTCATCACGCGTGGTCTCCATGTACTCGATGTAGTATTTCATCTTCATCTTCACTGAGTAACCGTCGTTGTCCTCCCCACATTTGAACTTCTGGTTCCTGTACTTGCGTTTCAGCCGCTCCAGAGTCCACTTCTCCTGTGCAGACCAGCCCACCTGGGCGTTCAGCAGGACCACGGGTTTGTACGGCTTTTCGTAACGCTCCACAAACTCCTCCACGGTGAGCTGCAGTGCATCCGCCCGCTCCACGTTATCCTGCGAAACCAAGAGAGGAGCACAGAGCAGCTGTTAGCACAAACGTCCCAGGTGCTCTAAAGCAGCACGGAGGCTCTGCACGCTCGGGCTCTGCTCCGCACACCGCGAGGCTGTCAGACCGCCTGCGCCTTATTTTAAGCTCCCTGAGGGTGCAGCCCTAATTCTGGCGCCCGGCTCTCAGCGGTCACACCGCCCGGCTCGGGCCGCGTTTGGCACCATCCCCAGCACGGCGAGGACACCCCTGTCCACCCGGCTGCCGCCCAGCCTCGGCTCCGCACAGACCCTCCCCACACCCCTCCATCCCTCAGCCTCACCCCGCTCCCCACAGCTCTCCCGTTCTCCTCAGCCCCCCCCCCCACCCCCCTGTTTCCCCCGACCCCCCCGTTCCCCTCAGCCCTTCCGTCCCCTCCGGGCCGCCCCGCTTCCCTCACGCCTCCCCCGTTCCCCACAGCCCCTCTCTCAACCCTAACCCAGCCCTAACCTCACACCCCCCGATTCCCCCCAGAGCCCCCCCACCCCCCACAGCTACCGTTTCCCCTCACACGCCGCTCGGTGCCGCACCTTGCACGCAGCAGGGCTGAGCGGGAAGGTCTCGCAGTAGTTGTGACGGGTCCAATCCAACGAGTCCTTCAGCTCGGGCCGGGCGCTGCGCTTCGCCTCGCGGATCCGTTTCTTGCTCTTGTGATTCATGGCGGCGTTGAGGACCCGCCGCTCCCGACCCACGTCCCGCTCCCCGGCCCCGCCGCACCTTCGAGAAATTTCACCCCCTTGCCGCCGCCGCCGCCGCAGCCCCGCCCCCGCCGCGCTCCCATTGGCGCTCCTCCCGGCCGCCTTCCGCCGCGCCGTGCCCGCCTCCCGGCGCCGATTGGACGAAGCGGGGAAGCGGCGCGGCCGCCATGTTGGGAAGGGCGGCGCGGCGGCTTGCGGAAACCCGGCGCGGACACGGCGTGAGGCACCGAGAGGTTCCCGGAGGGCCCCGCGGCGCTCCGCGTGACGTCACGTCGGGAGAAAGCTGTGATTGGCCGTCGGGACCTGGCGCCACACGCTGCCGCCTGCGATTGGCCGCCTGCGAAGCGCGGGCATGGGGGAGCCGCGGCGCGCCGTGCGGCGGTACCGCTTCGTGGGGGACGCGGCGGGAGGAGAGGAGCGCGCGGTGCTGGCTGTGCGCGTCCCCGAGGTACGGCCCGGGGGTGGGGGGGCAGAGAGCGCCTGGGCACGGAGTCACAGCAGCACAGCCGTGTGTTTCAGGTGCTGGACCCGCAGTATGGCATGTACGCGTGGCCCTGCGCCGTGGTGCTGGCTCAGTACGTGTGGTTTCACAGGAGAACCCTGCCCGGCCGCAGAGTGCTGGAGGTAATGCGCTCGCTAATCGCTATCCCAGGCAGCTCGTCGGTTCCCTATCACATCTCAGCCCTTCTTGCTCCAGCACAGCTTAGGCAGAGGTGGCAGGGAACTGCAGGCTCACACAACCACACATAAAAACACGTTCTGCACTTCACGCACTGCTTCTGCTTCCCCTCATAGAAACAGCCCTGCTTCACTAAGCTCAGACATCTGCACATCTCATCCACCCTCCCCTGCAGAACTCCTTCATCCAGCTCTTGGATGCACCTCCCCGACCCCCGGCTCTCAGGCTGCAGCGCCCTCACATCCCCCCCTCTGCATCCATTTCAGATCGGTGCAGGTGTCAGCCTACCCGGAATAGTGGCTGCCAAGTGCGGCGCTCAGGTGACGCTGTCAGATAGCGAGCAGCTGCCTCAGTGCCTGGAAATCTCCCAGCAGAGCTGCCTGATGAACCACCTACCCCACGTACCCGTTATAGGCATCACCTGGGGCCGTGTATCTCCAGAGCTGCTCTCTCTCTCTCCTGTAGACATAATTTTAGGATCCGATGTCTTTTTTGACCCAAAAGGTACGTTAAACCTTTCAGGTACCTCTGACTGGACACAGACTGCAAAGACGCAATTTATTAAGCTTTCTTGTAGCGATAGTTCCTGAGCTTGTTATTCTTGCAGTAATTCCAGTATTAAGCTATCATACAAATACTATTGTAGGGTAAGTGAATAGAAGTGGAGCCGTTAGCTGGCTGCTTAAGGCCATGCTGTCAAGTCTCTCCCACAGCTGCAGCAATTCTCACGTTAATTTTCAACTACCATTTCATAGAAGCAGGCATATTTAAAAGTATTTAGAATCTAGAAACTACAGCTGCCCAAATCTCCCCTCCTCTATGCAGATTTTGAAGATATTTTAACTACAGTTTACTTCTTACTGGAAAAGAATCCACATGCTCAGTTCTGGACCACTTACCAAGTCCGAAGGTAAGTTCTCCCCCCCCCCCCGCCCCCCCCGCCATGTAAGACTCAGGTATTAAATTCTGCTTATATTAACTTCTCAGACACACAAATGTACTGATTCCTAAGCTACTCTCAAGATTGTGAATCAGGCTGATAGTAGCCAATAAATCCTAGGAATATCAGGCCAGAACAGCTAACCACAGATTTACTGTGGACCAGAGAGCCATTACAAGCTCAAACCTTTAGCAGAATATCATAAGTTCAGAGTCTCTGCTGAATCACTGCATGAGTTACAAACCTGGATTGCATTTTCACACACTGATATTTCTTCCCCTCAGTGCTGACTGGTCTATCGAAGCTCTGCTCTACAAATGGAAACTGAAGAGCATCCACATTCCATTACATTCGTTCAGTGCAGACAAAGAACACTTGGCCAGCTCTCCTCTACCCAGCAGACATACCATTGAAATGATCATCATCTCACTAGCAACATCAGTTGGTACTTAAGTTTATTCCACTTGTTGGTTCCATTACAAGATTATATTCAACTTTAGCACGGATCTGCAGCAAACAGTCTGATCTACAGCAAACCTCACGTGTACGCTTTGGAAAGCAGATCCTCATCAGCAGTACTTCCTCAAACATGCATTGTAAAAATAAATCTGTTTATTTGTGTAGCTGGCTTTTGAGAAATTTGTTCTCCTTTCCAAAGACAAGTTATGTTTCAGAGACCCATTTCCATTATATAGCCACTCCACAACATACCTTAACAACCTGACCACCCACAAGATCCAACTTAAACTCACAACTTCAGCCATGAAGAAAAGTTACCAAACTCTTTTAAAAAAGATAAATGTATCCCTTAACATTGGTTTCCTAGGACTGAAGCCCTTTCCCTTACGATTCTTATACAAAATCCAGCCCCTGTAATTGAATCTATGCAGACTGCTGCTAGGCACGCAGTCCTGGAACACAGAAACTTCTCAGTTTGTAGAAAAGCACTTTTAATCCCTGGTCAAGCCAGACTGCAAGTATTCAGATGTTTCCATTTCCATTTAACATACATGCATAATGTTAACAAGGCATTACAATAACCCTTGACATGTGATGATTGACATTACAATCCATTTGGTATAAAAAAAATAAATCAAGAAAAGAATGATCACTAAGATGAGCTACCATCAAGCAGCAGCCTGTTGAATCAAGACAAGCACACAGCAAATGCAATTAGTACTGCTCAGTGTGTATCCTCCATAACATCCAACAGACCCCATTTGGTGTTTGGAGCCTGGTGTGCAATACCATCATACAGCATTTGGGTTAGTCACAATACCAGCAATTCTGCCCAGTAATTTCAAAGCAACCCCAGTGGATAAAATTAAGAAGCAGTAGAATGCATTCTGTTACTATATAGAAGTTAAACATTGACAGTATAATTGCAGAAATCTTTTCAAGCTAAAAATAAGCTGACTCAGACATTAAGTTGAGAAAAGTTAACACAGAAAAAATGTTTAATATTAACTACAGAGACAGTGGGTATAGTACAAGATGTCTTAAGCAAAAGATACACCAATCAGTACTTACAGAGGAATGAACCATTTCTTTCTTAACATTACATTTCTCAAATATAAGTTCATATATGCATGTTGGCAAGATTTACCATTCTGGAAAAAATAAGGTGTGTATACCATCAGCTAGATGTGCTCACTGTATGCTCCGTTATTTTTATGCAAGGCCCGGGTGATTGGAAGTGCAGTTGTCAGGCATTTTAATTAACTGGACAGCCATTTGTTTCTGCACGACAAGGCATCGTTACACAGGAGCAATCAGGAGAAAACAGGAAACAGCCAAGCACTCTGCACTGCAACACGCCACCTTAACAGCTAACCAGCATTACTCAACTGCTACACAACTGCGCCTAGTGCACAAAAATACATAAGAGAAGAGATTAGAATTGAGTCTGATAAAAACAATCCTTTCAAATATCAACTGTCACCTGAAAAGATTTCTACCAATTTGAAGATACTATTTCAATTCAAAGTTAAAAAAAAAAAAAAGCATTTACAGTAAATTTCAAATTGAAATATTTTTCTTCCTTCAGAAATTTAAGGAATAATGAAATTGAGAGTACTTTTTGACAGCTATTCAGCATAAAGAGCTGCACACTTCCTCAGTATGAAACTTGAGGCAGCGCATTACCATCCGTTCAATTTCAAATGAAAGTCAGCACTATATAAACAGAAATGAAGTTTTACCTCAAATATCCAAGCCAATAATGAAATCGGTAGTCGTTCACTTCACTAAATTACAAGAAATTTGAATAACAGCAACAAAATGGCACATAAAATGTAAAATCTGCCACTTGAGGCGCAACTTAAACAAGTAAAAAGTTAGACAAAATGTTACAAAATAACCTTTTCGACAGCTGGTTGCTCATGCCAGGGGTCTCTCCAAGGACTGTCGACTCAAGCGATCCTTTCCCCCCACAGGCGTCCTTTATGTGGATTCTCATTTATCTGATGCATCTAGATTTGAAGAAAGAGAAATTCAGCTAGCTTTCTCCCTCGCCTCTTCTCCGCTGTGTGGATGACTTCAGGTATACTGCTAGTTGTGTTTCAACTGGCTTTGCCTAATTTCTTAACAGCTCTGGGCATTACCATGGTGTTCCACCTCCCCCCGTGAGTTGTTTTAATTCAGAGGCCAAATGTAAGCTTCTGTGAAAGGATTTTGTTACAGAAAATAGACATCAGGCTGTCCATCAAACCACTTTAACTTGAATCCAGCCTGCTTCACAATCAGTTATCAAAAGTTAAATAAAAGTTGTAGAACTAGACTTCGTGTGAAAGACTTAACTAAACTAATTAACGTTCAAACCGAACTTGCTAGTTTCGCTACAATTATCTAACTGCAGAGCTAGCTTAGGCCCTTTCCTTTTAAAAAAGAGGACCAAACAGTTTGAATGGGTTAAAGACACACTATCCTTTCCCCACCCAGTGTTATCCTTAGGAGCCTCTTCAAGTTGATGACTTGAGGAAAAACTAGTTTCCGTCGTTTTTTCATAGCAAGGAATTTGCCACTTTGCTACAACAGTTACCTCCAGTCAGTACAACGGCCACTGAACCGATCTTCCATTCCATTCTAAAAGGATAGTGTATCTTTAACATTTAAAGACAAACCTGCTCCAATACACGCCCACAGAAACTGGTCCCTGGAGGATCAGCCAAATCAGTTAAAATCTGCAATACTGGCCAATATTCTTTTAGCAAACAGGAGACCGCAGCTTTAAAGGGGAAAATGCAGATGTTGGATAAATACAGTAAGAAATAGTCATTTTCATCATAGGTTGCGTCTCATACAATATTTTATCAAAACCAAGCCATTAATCTCTCAACAAAACATGAAAATTTTCTGTGCAGAAAGCCCTTTGGTATTAATTTCCCTAAACCAATAACCAAAAAGCACTGCTCAAGAAAAAGAAAAACAACAAACAGCTCACAACGTGCCCCACTAGGATCCACTCGGTTCGAACTATTAATACTACCAACTCTACCCAACACCCCACTTAAGTGCTACAATAAAGTAACATGCAAGGTGTGCTGATCCCGAGGTACGTTACCATTCTCCTAGGAGGACACAGCTCCTTCCTCTTCCGGAGACTTGGGAGGGCTCTTAGACCTGGATCTAGAGTTGGATTCCCTCTTTGAAGCTGGTGGAGGGCTCCTAGATCTGGACCGGGATCTCGACCTGGACCGAGATCTGGAGACAGATGAGGACTTTGACTTGGATCTCCTGGCTGATCTGGACTTTGAAGTGGAGCGGGAGCGGGAGCGCGTGCGAGAGCGAGATTTGGAGCGGCTGTAACGAGATCGGCTGCGGGACCGAGAGCGGCTCCTGCTTCTCGATCGGCTGCGGCGGCGCCTCCTAGGGCTACAACGAGAGGAGCGGGAGGAAAAAAAAAACCAAACACGTTAGAATGGAACGCAGGCTGCGCAACGGTCCGCACTGCTACTACTCCGGGACGGGGCGGGAGGAACGGCCCCACGTGGGCGAGAAAATGAGCGTTCAGAGGGCGCCATTGTTCAGAGCGAGTGGCCGGGGGCTAAAGCCGCTGCGGGGCACCCCACGTGCTTCCGCGGCTCCCTTCCCATCCAGAAACTCCTTCGGAAAGCGAAAAAGTGCCGAGCGGCTGCGCCGTGCGAGCGGAGCCCGGCCCTTTTCTCCTCTCCGGCCACTCACCTGCGGCTGCGGCGGCCGTAACCGCTGCTCCCGTAGCGGCGGGGCGGAGGGCCGCGGCGGCTGTGGTGCGAGTCCGGGGGGCGGCCGTAACGGGCCATTTGCACGCGGAGCTCGCGGCCATCCAGCACGGCCCCGTCCATCGCGTCCATCGCGTCCTCGGCGTCGCGTTTGTCGTGGAAACGGACGAAAGCGAAGCCGCGGCTCTCCTTGGTGTAGCGGTCCCGGGGGATGTAGACGTCGCCCACACGGCCGTACTTCTCGAAAACCCTCCGGAGAGTGTCCGGGGACGTCCGGTAGGTCAGGTTGTCCACCTTGAGGGACGTCATGCCCTCCACATCTGGCGGAGGGCGCCCGTAGCTCATGGCGGGCTGTAGCCCCCCGAGGGGCGGCGGCGGCTGAGGAGAAGAAACCCGAGGGAAGGGAGGAGAATTTGGAGGCGGCGCGGCCCGGAGCGGGAAGCGCCTCACACGGGAGGAGGAGCGCCGGAGCGGCGGCCGCGCAGAGTCCAGAAAGGAAGAGAGCTACAGGGCATAGGGAAAAGCCACAGGGTCCTCGGCGGGGAGGGAAGGAGCAAGCACCCACCTTCGGGCTCTGAGAAAAGGACGAGGCCTAAGGCCGCAACGGAGACGCAGTACCAAGACAACCGCCCTGCCCGCGGCCGCGAGAAAATGAGCGGGGCGCCGCCCGCGCGCGCCTACTTAACGCCACAAAATGGCCGCCGCTACCCCGGAAGTGAAAGCGCCTGTGGCGCGCGTGGTGGAACGCAAACCGGAAGCGACAGAGCAGCTTTTAGCACTTTTTTTTTTTTTTTTTTTTTAAACTCCTGACCTCGGTTCCCTGAGGCAGCCCGGCAAGTAGCGGGGAAAGTAGGTGTCTAAATTAACGGCGTGTACACGTTTAAAAGTGACAATTGAGGCGGATCTGCGGTGACCCGGAAGCAATCGGCAAAAGCAAATTTTGAACATGTGTTATAAAGGGAAAAAAAAAAAAAGAAAAAAGAAACTAGTTGAGGGCTGAGTGTTGTGGTGGAGGGGAAGGATGAGCTGGAAACCCTACGGGGTGAAGAAAAAAATGAGAAAATCGTTGCGAAGGAAAAGCCCCTGCACGGGAGGAGGCGGCCTAAAATGGCGGATACAGGGGGGGGGCGGTGCTGCTGCGGCGCTGCGCGGGCGCTTCTCTGCCTTGGGCGCAGCCGCAGTGCTTGATTTTTTCCTCTGAGCTCTGGTAAATGTTTCTATCCTGTCTGTTCTGTAAGCTGTTTTTGAAGGATAGGGATGAAGAAAGCTGTTTTAGCATGAAGGGGGGAGAAAAAGGCTGAGAAAGCAAGTTCAATAAGTGATGATTTGGATACAAACCCAGAGCAACAAGTTGTTTCCTATTGAAAAGATGTAGGAAATCAAATAACCTGGGATTGGCTTTCATGTCTGTATTGATTGGCGTTTTATTGTTTTTTTTTTCCTGTTCAGAGAGTTTGGATTCATTGCTTTCTGATTCATCTGCCGAAATGCTTTCACTCATGAGGAATTTAAAGTCTGTATCTTTACAGTGATTTCTTTGAAATGACAGAGGTGGTTCCCTGTGTCTCTCAGTTGCCTGAAGGGCAATCCCTTCGGTGTAAGCTGCTGTCAGCAGAACGATCCCCACACACCAGTGAGGGGGACACAACGGCTGTGGGCAGGGAAACATAGGGTCTGTTTGTTTAGTGATGCCTTAAAGTAAAAATTAGATTTAAAAATTCAATCTAATTTTAAATACTTAATATAGGAAGGGAGCTTTGCTGACATTAAAAGCAACACCTTGATATTGCTGTTTGGTCTTTGTAAAATAGCCTATGTATGGTCAAGCTGACTTTCTTCCATAAGTAAAGAATAAAACTTTATGACTTGCCGTTTTCTTAAGTTCTGAATTGTCATCCATTCCTCTTTGTCTGGCAGTTCATGGCGCTGGATTAGCAGAATGCTCCACTCCTGACTCAGGAGATGCAGAATACAGACAAGGTACTGACAGTGACAAGCAGCCATTCCGTCCATACCAGGTGTGTGTTACCCTGTGTTAGTTTTGTTGACAGTTTGACAGAGGGTTTCAAATCAAAAATATGAATTGATCTTGAATGTATTACTGAAAACCACTGTAAAGCAGGATATTAGGAGTGAAACATTACTAAAAGTGAATGTTTCTTGAGAGGAAGCAGTGGAATATTATACAGACCATTCCTTCTCCAGAGTCACTAAGATAAGGCAAAAGCACCAAGCAGAACTTCAGTGTTGGTGATACTGAGAAGTTTCTCTTTTGAGGAATTATTTGCCCTCCAGAGTGACCTTTGCTATGTAGGAATCCAACGAACTAGACATTTTTCTTAGATTAATGTTTCCAATTCTAAGGAGATGTCTGCACTTTGAAGTATAAAGAAGAAAGGGTACAGTGATAAAACTGCATTTCCCATAGTGCACGAGGGCTTTCTGAGCAGGATCAGCTGATCTGTATTGTGAAATGTTCCTTATTTCCTGTCCAGCATGCATGGAAATGACTTGTGTGTGTTAATATCTCGTCTTTCCTTTGTCAGGTGATTTACTGGCTTTTGACCAGAATTCTAGTCCATGGCAAGAAACTCAGCTGATTAACCATCTCGATGCTTGGAAAACTGCTTCTTTGGGTGGAATGAGATGTCATGGAGAAGTAACATACTGCTGTCTGCTCTCTTAACTTAATGGGAAAAGGTAGAAAGAATTTTGATCTTTACTTTTTGTATCTATCCACTTATTTTTCCAATGTACTGACTATGCTATGTTATTTAAACAAATCCTAGCAGCTAACAAGTAGCTCTCAGGAATCGTCATTTTTTAAGGGTTTTTTGTTGGTGGTGGTTTATTCTTTTTTTTTTTTTTTCTTCTTATTTCTTTAAACAGGAGTTAAGTGGAAACTTTTAAAGGGAAATAGATTTTTTTCCAGACTGAAGCTGAGAACTTGGCAAAATAACCCACAAAATGTCTCCTGACTCAAAAAAACTTTTCAACGTACTTATTTTGGGAATCTCATTCATGTTTATATTCACTGCTTTCCAAACATGTGGAAATATTGCGGTAGGTGTGCATATCAAAACGTTCCACAGCTATGTGACAGTTCTGTGCTTTGTCTAATGTGTGAGTTTGTAGTGAGATTTTTAATGTGCAGTGCAGCTTTTGACATTTTGTCTCCTTTCTTTTGGTTTAGCGTTAACTAGATTAAGTTGGTTAACAGGATGCTTAATCAGTTTATTTCCTTAAGGTATCATAGTTACGTGTGTAACTCTGATTGCTTAGACAATGGAAAATTAAGTAATCCTGTCAAATGTTAGAACTTCAATACCTGTTTTGCTTCATTCCATATACAACAATTGATTTTTATTGTATCTTTCACATTCCTGTTTTTTTGTATATAAGCCCTTTCAGAATGTTTGCCTAATATGTTATTATTAACCCCTAGTTAACCTAGGGGTTAACTAGAAACCTAGTTTCTGCTGGAGTTTCTTTCCTAATACTACCTATATTTCTGTTTTAACAAACTGAACATTGAAGGGGAGTGTGAGGTTGGCACCTGACGAGCAGTCAGGCTCACACAGCTGCTAGAACTGCCAAGTCACCTTCTCTAACTTAGTTGTTGATATTACTTTTGGTATCAGTCTTATGTCAGCCTACATCTTGCTTCTCTGTTCTTGCACATTAAGAAGAATTCTTTCTGAGTTTGAACATCTAAATGTCCTTCTCTACACTGTAGAAGTAATTGCTTACAACAATTATTGTTGTTAAATTATTATACAGCGCAGTGATTAAATTCTGCTACGCAATGGATGTGCAGCACCTCACTGAATTGGGCCTAGTGATCGTGCAGTGATGTAATGTATTGTCATTAAAGTCATTAAAAGTGACTTTCAATCAGATCTGCCAGACAATCCAGCTAATTACATGGTCTCATGATCACTAAAGCTGATTCAAGGGGGAAAAAAAGGAACAAGCTGTTAACGGAAAGACTGAAAGGATGGAAACTCTTAGCTGAAATTCAAGTACAGCTGAAGCCCAAGTTTGGATAAATTAAGAATACAGTGAATCTTCAGCTTTTTCTCCCTCGCTGTTTAGATGAAGATAGCAATGTGTAGGTACCTAAGAGAAATGTTTTGTGAAACAGAAGTTTTGTGAAATACTGTAAGATCTGTGGTGAAATCAGGATATAATTCCCAAATCTTTATTACTGCTTCAGACAGATGTTTTCCCTGCCTACTATCTCCTTCATCTTCATTGTGGAGATATTGTCAGTTGTAATTAATGCTTTAAGTAGAATCTATTAGTGATAATTTTTGATGTTTGGCACCGACTTCAATCTGTTACAAATGACTTCAAGATGTTCTAACAATATTGCACATGATTTCTCCTCACAGCAAACAGTGATTACAAATTTAAACAGCACAGATTTTCATGGCAGCGGCTACACAAGGTAACTCACACGTTTTCTTACTACTTTGCTCCTTGCAGGGTGAAGTTGGTTATAATTACATCTGGTAGAGATATACTCTCAAGAGATTCTAGTGCTCTGCTGGCTTCACGATTTAATGGCATACTTAAAGCAGTTTAAATCATGGCTCTCACATTCAGTCCTAATCTGAATTACTTGTTTCTAATTGAGCTACGTGATCGTTTTGTGTATGTTCTTTGTAAAACTAAAACTACCATTCAGGCATCACATTATCAGCTTTTTATCATAGTAAATTTAAAAAATGTGGAGATTTTAAAAAAAGACAGTAAACTGCTAAGGCCTTGGTTGTTTGCCCCATCTGCTTCTGTGCCTTGGTGTAGTATATGGGTTGTTTGGATCAACCTGTAGGAAATACTGCAACATAGTTGGGAAAGAAGCAACCAGAAAGACAAGAAGAGAAGCAAGGTTTTCAGCTGTAAAATACCACTCTGAATGTTTATTGTACTGACTTGGCCAGACTCACCAAGTATGATCAGGGAGCTTTTGTAAACCAAATTGATTTGTCATATAAGAAAACCCAGATGCTGCTTTGAAAGGTTTACTGTCTTAATATAAACTAAAATTACAGCTACTACAAAATATATCTATACAATTTTTATGGTGCATTTGACAGAAGATGAAAAGCTCACTAATGGATGAAAGTGGTTTTGGTACATTGTGCTTTAGAAGTACTGGGCAGAAAATAGAGCAACTTGTTAAGGCAGTTTGACAAAACCCTGTCATAAATTAGAAGATATGCTGGCCTGCAATGGCTTGGGACTCAATTCAGCAGTGCAAGAGACACTTGAGTGTTTCTGTATGGAGTAAAATGGTTGAAGGTAATTAACAACACAAAGGAAGGAAATGTTTGAATATAAAAATGAGGCAGTTGCTTATGTATATTTTGATACTTTGGAATCAGCTGAGTCTTCTTAAACAATCTGATTTGTAACCTGCATTTAGTACTTCACTATCTTTGTTGTTTGTTTATGTAGTATGTCCGTTATTTATGGAGTTTTCTCAGCATCAAACCTTATTTCACCTTCAGTGGTTGCACTAGTAGGACCTCAACTCTCCATGTTTATTAGTGGCATATTTTATAGGTAAGTATTATTTTTAATTTCTTTGAAATATCTTTTTTTTCCCACATGGAAGTGCAGTATCAAACACAAAATTGTACTGGCTAAGGAAAACACCATGCTGAGCTGCTACATGTAGCAGTAGGTAACTTCAGCGCACTTCAAGCCTACTGGAAACTGTGTTTTTTTTCTCATGGTTTCCAGTTTGCTGACTGGAGTTCATGTTGTGGTCTCAAGTTGTTGACTACATAAACAAAGTTCACCATTCTTGGTGGAATAAAAAGCTTACCTTTTTTTTTTACATAACCTGAACTGTATTGCATGGTACCTTGGGTGACAGTGGATGACACAGGAGAAGCTAAGTAAGATAGCTGTTTCTTAAAAAGGACATTCCACTTTGTTTTATGTTCAATAAATGGATCTATTTCTTCTATTCTAGTTTATACATTGCAGTTTTTATCCAGCCTTCTACGTGGAGTTTCTATACTGCTTCTGTTTTTATTGGCATTGCAGCAGCAGGTAAGCATTGCTCTTATTCTGCTCACTGTTCTTTGCTCTATTTGAATATACTTCCAAAGCACTTTTATTTCCTGACCAATATCTTTTGCACATTTCAGTGCTATGGACGGCACAGGGAAATTGCTTGACTATAAATTCTGATGAAAACACCATTGGAAGGAACAGTGGAGTATTTTGGGCACTGTTGCAGTCCAGGTAAGCTTTAAGTAATAGTTTGTTAGTTGTAGTAGTGGAAATGCAGCTTGAAGCAGTGATGGAGCACCTGGTGAGGAGGCAGGGCCAACCCAGGGGAGCTTAGGCATATGCAACACCTGAGTGAGCAGAGGGGGTGGAGCCAGGATCCACCCCTTCCCAGACCTCATTTCAGGGTTGGCAGTGGAGGTGAGGGTATTTTGCTAGAGATCTCTGCTTACCTGAGGTCTTTTGAGAGTAAGCAGATTTTGTTGTTGTTTCTGTATTTCTGGTATTTTGCAGTCATTGAAGTGGAGAGTTTAGAGCAAAGCTTCTAAAGCTGTTGTGCATTATAAGACAGTGAATGAAAGCTTCCTATAGCAAGTCTCTGCTCTTGACGTGCTAAAAAGATACATGTTAGTTCAGGGAGCATTTAGCAAATATCTTGGTCTTGGAGGGCTGTTTTGCATTGGGATCATGAGCTTATTAATGAGCCCTCGTGACCCTGAATGGCCTCACCATGTCTCCATCTCACCTCTGCCTGAGAGCCCCATTTAACCTCAGTGCTGGGCCTCCACTTGCTCTGGATCTTTGCTGGAGGAAAAGATGATGGAAACGTGCATGAAAACAGAGCTGTTGATTTGAAGAGAGAATAAAAGGACTGGGACAGTTTGGAGAGAAGTAAAATGAGGAGTATTTTACTCATGGGTTAGCAGAACAGGAAGGTGGCAGCTGAGCAGAATGTGGAGCTGTTAGTAAGAACTGCTGTACTAGAGCTCAGGTAATGTGTTGAAACTAGGGAAAGATTAATTTGGAACAGGTGAATTGCTTTTTTTATGTGATGTGTGAAAAACTTTTAGAATTCCCTCCTGCTGGAGGATTTGGAGTTGGATAATGTCAGCAGGACTGAAAAGAGATTGAACTCCCTGATAGTAGGGCCACAGATGTATCCTGAAGGCAGATAGCTCTTATGCTGCTAATACAGTGCTTCTGGGTATTGAGAAATAATGCAGGGGATGAGTCACGGTGGTAGGCTGATGAGCTTGCTGTAAATGGCATTGCTGGTGCTGTGTGGAGACAGAGTGCTGCATTAATGGAACAGCAGTGTGAAACAGTGCTGTGCTGCTCGTGTTTCATGTTTTGGAATTAATTAATGTCTTGGTGTAGCACAGTCCTGATTTCCACAAACTCAAGTAATTGTGTGTTTTATAGCGAGTAGAATGTTTGAGTTCAGATGAGGAAATTTCACTCTAAGGCTGTTTTGAGTCACCATTCATTCTGAGCTGATGTATTTCAGGGAACTGCATGTAGAAACACAGAATTTCCCCAACCTGTTAACAGCCTGTTTAGTATTGCTGAACTAATATTTCAGACGAGACACACGACTCGTGTAGGGGAGTACTGCAAATTCATTTCTATAGATACATCATCTTTCTAAGCTACACCCTTCCAAAAACAGTGAGAGAGAGAGAAGAAATGGCCATCTAAGTTCATTTGTTATTATCTTGTTCTGCACTGATTCCTAAGAAGAACATCAGGGTGAAAAATACTCTCCTGTGTTTGCAGTTCTCTACAGAATAAACAGTTTGTAAGGGAAATGACTGCTTTCTTGTCCTTTCACAATTGTGCAGTACTGGTTTTGCACAGAGCTGTGTCACTGTGATGCTGTGATCTTAATCCTACCACGAAAAGTTCACCTGTGTTGCTCTTCTTGTTTACAGCTTGTTTTTTGGAAACCTGTATATATACTTTGCTTGGCAAGGAAAAACTTACATATCAGGTGGGTGTTACTTGTCTATGGCAAGATGGTAACAGAATTATACAGGTGCCACTTTCTAGCATAGTCACTCAGGAATAAGGCACTGACATCTAAATGCTAATCATCAGGCTTCAGGAGTGCTGCCTCTGTTCCACTTCGTGCCTCTGCTAAATGCATTGTCTCAGTTCTCCATAGGCCTTGGCTTGGTAGCATAGCACAGGTTAATTTTTGGAAGTCAGCTCCCACGTTCTCTCATGGGGGCCTTGAAGTTCTGTGCCTTCTAAGTTTCGCTGCCATTGGTAACCACAGAATGCAGCCATTAAATATGAGGGAGTTCTGCTGTTGTGACTGCTTACATTTTCAAATGGAAAACGCTGTTGAAATGTCTGGAGACACTTTTTTGAAAGCTAGATGTTAGTATTAGAAGCTCAGACAGCACTTGAAAATGAGTTCCTCCTTTTTACTGCCTATATTATAGGCATCTCAAGATGAAGCACGTTTTCTTGATCTATAATCATGCACAGGTTATTTTTAATTGGGATAGAACAATTTACTGTTTGCCTTTAAGCAAATGTCCATTAAACACAAGCACAGGCAGTGTCTTTGTGTTTGTTCACTGGTTCAATCACAACTGTTAGAAGTTTCAGCATTTTTTTCCCATGGCTAATTTGCAAATAGGAATAACTTTGGTATTGCAGACTTTCCTTTGCCAGACAAGTTGTGTGGTGCACCAGAGCTGGTGCAGAGGGAAGCAGTTACCTTCCTCCAGCAGCACACTCTATGCTGCCTCAGTTACTGAGGTATCAATGCTGTTAAGGCCTTTGTAGTTTACAACTCTAATAATCTGATGTTACAGTGCTAATATCTGGTAAAGAACAAATTCTTGGGTATCTGCAGGCTTTTAGGGTAGCTTCCTATGTCGGTTCTGAGTTATACATCTCTTGAAATATAGATTTTTTTCCTGCTAATAATTCATGCATTTCATTGCTAACTGGCTCCTCCTTGGTCATAATCTTTCGTGGCAGGAAATGCAAGTAACACTCTTTAATATGTTTTATTGGCATTGTGAAAATGAGATAGGAATTTACCACTAACTGTTTTCATTTGTTCCACATGCAAGGTAACGTAGAAAATCAGTAAGCATTTTAAACACTGCTCTGAATTATGCTTGTATTAGTTCTTTGAAGGTAGCTGACTTTGTCTGAATTGCTTTTACATGCCTTGTTATGACTTTAATTTGTTTTTCCAGAGAGCGATCGCAGAACTGTCTTCATTGCCCTGACTGTTATCAGTCTTGTGGGCACAGTTCTGTTCTTTCTGATTAGGAAACAAGAGGACACAAAAGCTCCAGGGGAGGAAGATTCTGCTAATGAAATCCACGGGGGCAGCTCGTAAGTGCTTGCAACAATGATTTATTGTCACATGTACTTACTTATGTGTCCCTGCTTCTTAATGGAGTGTCAGTTTCACTTTCCCCTCTGAACTGGAAGCCTGAATGTTATGAACAACCTGTAGAATGCACACATTTGATAGAAAAGTGTCTGTATGTGAACAAGTGAGAATCAATTAATGTTCTGCATATGACATTTTCAAGGATGGAGTGAGGTAATGCACATCAAGTTTTTCCATTAATGAGTGAGTGCCTTTGGAGAGATACCACTTACCTCTTTTTCTCCACTGATTGTTAAATGTGCATCTGGCTTTTGTAATCTTTCTTTGTCTAATCAGTCCAGGTTAAGGGCTGGAATGAGCAGAAATTATTCCCATCCTTTTTCTAAGTTATATTTTCATACTAATATATTTGTCATATACTCCAAATATTCAGATGCAACTTCTGAGTACGCTGGAAGTGCACAGGCAGGCAGACACAGTGCAGTTTTGCTTGAGGCATCATTTTAGATATTTTTGTTTTATTAAAATAATGTTAGAAAAATGTCAACAAGTGTGTGCTGGTGAAAAAGCTCTGCCAGCCATTTCTAAACCTGCTCAGAAGGAAATATCTTAGGTTAAATTTTGAATGGTGTTCCCTTGCTCAGAAAGCCAGATGCATTTTGTGGTCAGTAGTTCAGAGTCTCCAATAACAATGCATTGGCATATTTCAGTACATAATACAGGCCTAAAAAATGTACAGACATCTTGAAGAATGAACTCATCTGCCTTCAGTGCAATGATACGAGGTGGTTATTTGTTTTCTTTTTTGACTAAGTCATTTATGCACCCAGGTCTGCACGAAACAAGCTGATGAGAGCAGTGGATGCCTTCAGTAAGTACTGCTGAACATACAAGCTGCTTCAAAAAATCCTGACAAATCCTTTCCAGCTCTCCTTGGTTCTGCTGATATGTGAAAATGTACAAATCACTCAGAACAAAAAGTTGCAGATAAATAAGGTTAAGAATGCATTTCAGTTACTGCACCTGAAAAACAGAAATTTAGATCTGGCCTTTGGGAAAAGAGACTGCCAAATGGCAATGACTTTCAGACTAGAGATGACAGTTCGTGTGTGGATATGGGGCTGATGAGGTTTTGAACCTGATAGGAGCTGAGTTTTCTGTGTGAATGTTTGTGACTTTGAGTCAAGTGTAAACAAGGTTTGCAAATGGAACAGCTTGGAAACGCTGAAGTTGTGGGCAGATTGCTGTTGGTGTGCAGCTGGTGTGAGGAGGCTGGCTGGACTCTAGAGTGCTTCTTCCATGATGGTGTCATACAACCAAAGTCTGTCTGCAAGCAAAGAAAGTGTAACAGACATCACCTCTGTGCTAGTATAGTGCAGGAGGAATTTGAGTTTGAGATGCAAGCTGCTTTGCAATGCATTCCTTATGCAGACAAGCTCAAAAACAACAGGGTCACCCCTGGGGAAAGCTTGTGAATGAAAGTTAAATTGTCTTCTGCAGTAAAAAGAAAAAAAGAAGGAAAAAAATAACCCTTACAAAACATTATAAAGGAGAAGCTGCATATTACTTTTTGTCACCAGATGGTAACACTTTAAATCAATGTTTTTGAACTGAACTGATCAGTTCCCACCGAGTTTGATACGGTCTGTCAGTGTCTGCTTGTTTTAAGATCATGGAGATCTTCATGGACAAAATATGCTTATAGGAGTTAATCACCATGAACAGTGAGTACAAAAACACAGCGAGGAATAAATTGTCTGCTGGTAGAAAACTGCACATCTCCCTCTTTAATATTTTCCTCCTTGCGTTTCTTACGAAAAGATTTGAGATCAAATCGTTGTTTTAGAGTGCAAATGAAGGTCTGTATGCTTAGCACTCTAATTTTCTCATTGCAAGAAAGTCACAGTTGAAATAACTTATTTTTGGCTTAAGCGGAGAGCAAAGAAAGGGCAGGTGCTCTTAGTAGTGTTAGTGGAAGTCACATTAATCTCCTTTGTGTCTTTCCAGAGAGATCCATAAAGCTAAGCTTCACGAAAGAGATTCTGCTCCTCAGTGTTACAACAGCCTACACAGGTATGAGGCAAGCACAGTGTGTGATTGTGCAGCACTGCTGGGCATCATTTGGAGTTTTAAACAGTGACCACAGAGCAGAGTGGTGACCTGTGTGTCTCTGCAAACAGTACTTGAATGTTTCAGGTGCCGTTGGTATTTACTGTGGCAGGAACTCTCTTCACCAACTTCAGTTTGAACTTGATCTGCCACTGTTAGACCAAAGTATGAGCTGTAGAATAGAAGTGCATTTATTTGTACCATATGTTAAAGCAGTTATTCCACAAAATGACTGTTAAAAGGTTCAAAATCTTGAAGGATTTTTGGTTGTTTTTTTTTCCTACCCATTTGGCTTTGGTTTTTATAGTTAAGCCACATGAACTAACTTGAATTCCTTGTAGATGTTTCACACTCCTGTTGCACTGAACAAGATAACCAGGCAAGGGCACGGGGGGGTGTGTGATGAAATCTGAGGTTGGTACGGAAGGTTTTGTAGAAAAGAATCAGTCCAGCTTGAAAGCACTGCGTGCTGCCATCTGGTGGCTCCTGGTCGATAGTGCCACTTCGTGGGGAAACGGGAAGGCCCGTAGGACTGGCGCAGGTTTTTACTTCCAAAGGTGTGGTTTGATAAATCGGGCTGTTGAGAGCTCATTCTGCAGGTCGCATGCAGCGTTACACAGCCTGCTGCTGGTAGACCAACGTATGGCGTGCTGTGTTTTTGCCATAGCAAAAGACAGAGGAGGGGAATGAGAGTTCTATTTTCTGTTTTTCTTTAAGCATAACTCTTGGGTTCTTGTAAATATAATTGCTGTGAAGACACTGTGATTTTGAGACTAATGGTTCCTTATTTTGGACTTAAATGTGTCACCTTTCACTATCAGCAGTAGAAAGAAAGATTTCTGACAAGTAGTTGTTCTTGCTCTGCTTTCATTTTGCATCTGTGGGAAAGGAGCAGTTGAGCTTAAACTCCTCTTGTTTGGGATTTGGGGGTGCAGGGGTCTTTCTCAGAAATACTATAATCTGGAAAAAAAAAAAAGACTTAAAGTGAAATAGTTTCATTTCCTCAGTTACTAAGTGCTGTTTCACACAGTGGTTCTTGTTTGAATGAAATTCCAAAGTTCTTGGAGAGGCAGAAATACAAACTGTTTATAGGGATTGTGTCAACAGCAGCAGTACTGAGCCTTAGTGCATCTGATGCTAATTATATGACTTTTTTTTATGTTACTCCCATGAGCTAGCATAGAAAAGTATAATGATTGCATAGCTTAAACCTCCTCTTGTTTGTTTCTGTTACATTTACCTCTTTAAAATATGTATTTGAAAGTTACTTTAGGGAAAAACATTTAGATAAAAACTATTGCAAAGCTTATGAAGAAAGCCCTCATTTGTCAATCTTGTGTGCTTTCCTTCAAAGGTTTGGAGTTAACATTCTTTTCTGGAGTGTATGGAACATGCATCGGTGCTGTGAATAGGTTTGGCAGAGAAGAGAAAAGCCTCATTGGTCTCTCTGGGATTTTTATTGGTGTTGGGGAAATTTTAGGTGAGTCAAAAGGAAATATTTGCTGATGAGCAACTTGGATTCATAGAGAGGCACACGTTTTTGCAATCAACAAAGCTAGGCAGGGCATCATCCCTCCATAGTGTTGTGAGGAGGAAACAGAAGTCCTGGCACGACACCTTGTGAAAAGACTGAGTGCCTTCATCAGCATCTACCTGAGAAATGTGCCTGCAGGTCTTGGACACCTCTGGCAACCCAGAGCTTCTGTCACCAGGAGAGCTGGTGTGGCAGAGCTGGCAGACACTTCGGGGCTGCTCTCGTGTCTGTCAGTGCTTCAGTTGTTAAACACAGGGGTATTACAACCTATATTTTCAGTCTATTTTTGATTTTCATTACTTGGAATTCAATCCCGTTCTTTGTATCTTTGTTTCTGATGTAAGTCTCCCATCTTTTCCATCCCTACAGGTGGAGGAATCTTTGGTTTACTGAGCAAGAAGAATCGCTTTGGCAGGAACCCCATTGTGATGCTGGGCATCATTGTCCACTTCATTGCCTTTTATTTAATTTTTGTCAACATGCCAAGCAATGCCCCTGTTGCTCCTATGGAAGGAACAGATGATGTTGCTTATATGATTCCAAGGTATGTAAGCTCTTCACTCTGGCTGTTATAACTCAAGATGCATATAAAACAGCTTGTACTTCTCATAGCAAACTCATTGAAACAGCTTTTTTGGTGCATACTCAATTTAGGGGCTTAAATGGTGTAAGAATAAAAAGCACGAGGGTATTTGGTAGCAATTGTACTGTTTGAGAACATAACTCTTACAGTTGTGACCAACAACTCTTGTGCTGGCTGTCAGGAAGTTGGACTCATTTTGACTGTAGCATAGAACACCAGCTTTTCACTCTATGTGTTTGAATGCTCCTTGTCAAAGTCCAAAGTCTGTTAGTTAGGGGAAGAATATAGGGAGCATTCTTATCAGTGCAAGCTGTTTTTGGGGTGTATTTGTGCTAATTTGTGTGAAAGTAATGTGGTCAGTTTGTGCAGGCACAGCTGCTCAGCTGCAGTGAATGGCATTTGTGCCTGTATGTGGGCCTGTATGTTTTTAATAGGAGTGTTTTTCTGAGTGAATTGGTCTTTTGCTCGTGTTCCTGCAGTTCTGTTGAATTCACTGTATGTGTGTCTTGGCTTTTGATCACTGCTGTGTGGGCTTTATGACTCCAGGCATCGAAATGAGATTTTAGCAGTTCTAATTCAGTGTAGAATTGACTGTTGGTAATACTGACAGAAGCCTTAGCATTCAAGGAATTGAAATCTGATGAAACTATTCTTTTTGCCAGCCAAGTGTTCCCACTTCTTTTCCAATGAAATTTAAAGTTTGGTAACTTTCTTCCATTCTCCATTTCCAAGGCTGTCAAAAGTAGTTCATAGGTTCATGCATTAGTCAGTAGCTGTGGGAGCTGCTTGAATGAGTGATTCTTACATTTGATTGCATTTTTCCTTCAGCAAAGAGGTGGCCATATTCTGCAGCTTTCTGTTGGGCCTGGGAGACAGCTGCTTCAATACCCAGCTCCTCAGCATTTTAGGATTCCTGTATTCTGAAGACAGTGCTCCTGCCTTTGCCATCTTTAAGTTTGTTCAGGTATTACATCCCGTAACCTTCTGAATGTACAAGTGTGGGAATGCTCTTTGTGCAGCTTTAATGAAACTTTTACCCGTAAAAAGGATACGCTGCAAGTGAGCAGGAGTGGTTGTCCAAGTTTCTAGCTGTATTTTGGTAGAAAATAGTTTGTGCTGCTGTAAAACTGAAAATAGGTTTTCTGGATTTTGTCCTAAAGCCTTGGCTGCGTTGTTTCCAGACACAATGCTTTGAAATAGAGGAGAACCGTGCTTGCCATGCTTCAAATGCTTTTCAGATGTGTTCATTTTCTGCTGTGAACTCTATTTAAAGAAGTACAAACTAAGTCTGTTGTATATCATCTAGGGACATATGCTGTGGTATAATTTGATTGCTGTGTCTTCGAAAGAAGCGTGCTTAAAGATGCATGTTGAACTGTGTGTATTGCCAGCTCTGTAACCTTGTGCAGCAGTGCTGGAGTGGATATCTTCACTTAAAATCTTTCACTTTTTTTTCCCCATCAGTCCATCTGTGCTGCCGTTGCATTTTTCTACAGCAACTACTTCCTTCTGCAGTGGCAGCTCCTGATCATGGTGGTTGTTGGTTTCTTTGGGACAATCACCTTCTTTGCAGTGGAGTGGAAGGCAGCAGCATTGCTTGCCCGTGGCTCTGACTACAGCAGCATTTGATCTCAGTTTCCCACACCTATAAGGAAGAGCACAGGCACATTTATTGACAAGTGATGCAAGAAGGTGGAAGGATCAAGCTGAAGAGATCACGACGGAGGAAGCTACTAATAAATCACCAGTCCTCAAACTGAACATGAAATACAGGAAGAGAAAATGCTGAGTCTGAAAGGCTTTTTCCTTGCTTTAATCAGCTGAGTGTGGTGTGCATCTTCTTAAAAATCCTGTGTTAGAAATGGAAGGAAATAGAGATCAGTGTATTGAACAGTTTTGTTCTGAGCCACATCTGAATGTATAATGGCCTAATTTCACTGTCATCCACTACAGAATTAGTTTTTTCTTTCTCTCCCCAAATTATTTTACCTGTATCCTAGTTCTGCAGACACTTACATTCTCCCACTGAATGACCAATGCTTTTGTGATGTATTGCAGAACGCATCTGTAAAGCTGAGCAATCAATTCACAGCATTGATATTTTTTTTTAACAATTAGATATGCAGGAACATTTCTGCAGGAAATGTCACCTTATTCTTTTACCTGGAAGTTCTCAAATCCTTGTGTAGAACAATTTGCTTTCCTCAGTCACCTCCAGGACACCAAACCAGCCTTTCATCCAGCGTCTCCCAGAGTAGAGCTGCAGTGGGGCAGCTGCTGTCACCTTCTCAGGGTAATGCTGCATGAAGGGCTGCAGGCTTCCCTCCCAGATGTCCCAGTGGTTCTTTTCAGTTCACAGATGGTGATGAAAGTTTCAGTGATGGGAATATTACCAAAGATACATTTTAAAAGTGCATTTGGAGTCAGAATGTGATCTCTAAGAATCATCTTGTGGTGTTTATTCTACTGCATGGTCTAAAAATACCTGAGATGATTGATGTCAGCTGTTTCCTTCAGTATATTTAGGGAAGACTGTACTGTAATCTCATTCTGCCTGATGTGGAAACAAGCTGAATGGCATGGCAACTAAATTTTAATCTGGAACGGTTGTAGATGGTGATGTCCTGCACTCACCAAGTGCATCCCACCTTGCTTTTAGCTGTCTGCATGACATTGTGTTGCTGTTTTGTTTCCATCTAGCAGATAAACACGATGCAGCTGAAAGCAGATAAACAACACTGAGCAAGTGGGAGTTTTTTAGACACTCCATGTAACTATTCTCAGAAAAGTACCATTTCCCAAGCTTTTCATGCACAGTCAGAATGCAAATGTCTTGTCATATGTTCAAAGGCACGTAAAAATATTGGCTTGGAGTATGCATTAGTAGCTCCTGCGTGTCGTACAGACATAGGTGTGCCCAAGGTTAAACTTGGTGAGGGAGTATGGTGTCTCCTGTGACATTTGCTGTCACTTCTGTTCTTGCAGAGCATATGAAACACTGCTCCCATGAAGCACAGCTGTCCTCATGCATAATGAGACAGCAGAGAAGGATTATTTTAGAGGTATAGGAGAAGATTTAAAATTTGCTCTAGGTTTTCTTGCTATGAGTTTAGTAAGGTGTTAGTGGGAGGATTAGGAGGCACCTGAACAACTGGCAAGCAAAGAAATCTGAGGGCAGCCAGGAAGGCCTTTGTATATTTCCAGGAGATGTAATGGATGACGTGGAAGGATGGGATGAGGGCACACACTCAGTGAGGTTACTGAAGCCATTCCAATTTGTCAGGCAAACTGAGAAAGTGTTTGGTATTCAATCACGAAAAATGAGTAGCAGCACTCAAACCTCTTATCCACCCCTGTTATCCTGTAATGTAAGCGTGCTGTTTGTACACAGAGCTCCATAAGATGTATAGGTGATAGGATGCTGGCAGTGGTTACAGTCCTCCTGTTGCTATGTATCTGTATTTTTCTCTCAAATATAAAAGGGATAAAGAATCTTCTTAAAAATGCAGGCACTTACTTTCCTCTCTGATTTGTGAGACTTGTTCTCCCCATACAGATGAATGAGAGAAGGCAAAGCTCGCAGGAAACAACTTTGTCATTTCTGGGTCTTGTAGTAATGAATAACTGAAAGTGACCCTGCTTCATTTTAGCTAGATAACAGCTCTCGTGAGGTTACTCCTGAAATCAGTCTGTTCTAATGAATTTGCATTGTTCATCTGTGGCATAAGAATTATATCAACTATTTTATTAGAAATTCAGGAAAACCAGCAATCTGCTGTGGTTTCAGCAAACGTTTTGAGGCTGGCAATGGGGGCTACTGATGAACTGGGTTTTGTGCACACGTGGTGCTTCTGTACATCAGATTTCTCTTTGTTTCCCTTTCCCTGTTCCGTTTGCTCTGACTCCATGACAGAGAATGCCATAAGGCTGTTGGGGGCACTGAAGTATCATTGCTCTGTGACAAGTTTTACAAGACATTGAGAGAGATAAATATCTCAGTATGTATTTGCTGTTAACTGTATGACTTTTAAACTTTGGATCTTAAGGGAAGGTTTGCAGCTGATCAAGCCATGACACACGATTGTTTCTTCACTTATTTCTGTGATTTACTGAGTGATTAAAAAAAATCCACACAGCTGTACGCAATGGTTGGATGGGTCAGAATGTTTGGCGTAGCAGTCTGAAGAATGGCAGTGCTGGCAGCTGTCATCATTCCATCTCTTAATCTTCCTATCAGTGTTTACCAGCCCTGAGGATGGACCCCATTCATTTTACCTCCTTGGCTTTTGAACAGTTCCACATTAATGTGAGTTGGGAGCTTGGGTTCATTTCATTGGGATTTGGGGGGAGGGGGAGGGCTTCAGATGTGATTATGGAATCATGGTTTTGTTTTAATGTTAGGGATTTTATCTTTATAAGTGAAATTACATATTCATTTGCTTGAGTTTATTTGGAAAATCTTTTTTCTTTTCCTGCTCTTATCCTTTTATGTTATTATTGAGGTTTAATATCCGGACATATTGCATCCAAGTTCTTCAGACAAATGCTAAGAGGAAATGAAAACTGATATTCCTGACATTGAGTGCCAGAGATGCTGCTAGGAATTAGTCTTTCATGCATATCGTGTAAGCTGATCCACATTTCTGTCTTGTCACTTGGTTTTCCTTCTGATACAATAGGAATGTATGCAAAGAGAATTTCTGCAGCTTTAGCCCTTGTTTGTAACTAAGCAATGCGCTTTTATTTCTGTTGTGTTCATTTCATTTGGTGCAGTCTACGTAAGAACGTTGAGATAAGGAAGAGAAGCATTTATAGAAGGTTCTTTCTGAATGTGGTCTTCGTGATCTAATTTCTGCTGATACAGCTAAGTTAGGAGGGGGTGTTTGAGGGGAAGGAAATCATAACTTCTAAAGAGATCCCTATGGCAGTAAAGGCCCTCCTGTGGTGTCCTCATCCCTGCAGACAGCCAAGGGCAGGGATGGGCTGTGAGCACTGATGGAGCTGTGGGTGTCCCTGCTCAGGGCAGGGGTGGCACCAGATGGCCTTTAGGGTCCCTTCCAGCCCCAACCACCCTATGGTTCTATGATTGTGTGCCTGTTTAAATCGAGAAGCCTTCAGCTGGTGGTGTTCTGTGTTGTGGCCAATTCTGGAAAGAACTCTGTGGTGGAGTTTGCTATGAAACTTTGTTAAGTTTCATGGAAAATTAGTGCAGAAAACTATAAATTTGGGGCCTTGTGTCTGTTGACCCAATTGGGAAAATCTCACTTGCCTTAACTCCTGTAGTTAACTTCAGGAGCCTGGTTCCTTTGGCCAATGCTGCTGAGGTTTCCTGGGAGCTGGGCTGGGTGTGAGAAGCGTGCCACACACGGAGAGAGCTGCTGAGGATTTCTAGAGCAGTGTTTAGTTGTTTGCTGATGGCCAATAGCACAGAAAACATGGTGGAATAGAATGCTGGGCATGGAGTCACGAGGTGATGTCCTCCTCCAAGTGATCCTAATGACACGATGACATTGTGCAGAAGTCTAATGGTTGCAATTTCTCTTTAATTAGAGACGTCTTTGGGTTAGACTTGGTGGTACGTGAGTTGAGAATGAGCTCAGACACAATTATCTTAATGGTAACACTGATTTTGAGTGTACTGAGTGAAAGCAGGCTATTCTGTTTCTCCACTGCAGGTTCTTCAGACTCCTCTGTGGCTCCATGGCATGACAGCTGGGCAGCCTCTGTGTGCTGCTGTCAGACAGAGAGAATCTATTTGGTTGCTGACTGAAATATCCTTTATGTGTGCAATTAGAAAAGCACCTCTTAGGCCGGCTGTCAGCTCACACAGCCTTTGAGTCTTTGGATGAAAGGACATTCAGGAGTTTGTGCTTCAAAGTTGAGTCATGAAGGGGGGGGGAAAGTAGAAGGTTTGTGCCTTAAATGAAGCATCAATCATCCTGTCATCTTGAAGGGAAATAGCTATTCGTTAAGGTCACTTAGTGAAATTAGCTTCAATTAAGTAACTTTACTAAATGCAATGGTGACTGGTCATTGCTGGAACCACTCATCTTGCAGTAAAGCCTGACCTGCACAGTTTGTTATCATTATTAGTCTTCACTTAAAAAAAACCAACCAACAGAGTAATTGCTCAGATAACAGCTTGTTTTAGAGAACCTCCCAACCATACATCGTTCTTTGTTTCATGCTTGCAGAGATGTAACAGTGGTACAGGACGTTTGGTTCAGTGCTCCGGTGCTGAGTGATTGTAGAAGGCAAAGAAAATGATTCTTCTGTAGCAGTGCAGACAGTCCTCCAACTGAACCCGTGAATAGGCACGACTGTATGTTTTCCAATCAAAGTAAGTGTCTAATTGCTGGTTATTATTACTTTAAATGAAAAAGATACATTTTTACAAGTGGATGCTGGTTGGCCCTGTGGTCTGGAGATGAGGTGGTGTGCAATGATGTGACCCCAGCCTGGAGGTAGTGACAGTGTCAGCTGAGTGCTGAGCAGTCACAGTGACTTGCTGCTTGTTTCACACCTTCCCAGCAGCTGTGTGTGCCCACTGCTCTGTGTCTCACTCACTTGGGGCTGAGCACGGTGCTACAAGGGAGCAGGAGGTGAATGGCATCACAAGCTGCCAGGGCACCTCTGCCCTGCTTGAGCGGCGTGATGGATGGAGCACGGTGCAGGTGGAGGACAGCTGTGAAGGCTCAGCGTTTTCCCTTGCTGCTAATTTCTCTGTAACTCTGATCTAAAATCTGCAGGCTACGTTTATAAATTAACTTCATTCCCACTATGCATATTCCTGTAAAATACTTGTGCAGAATATAAATGACCGCTGTTCTGATGCACTTCTGCACTCGGTTGCCGCAGGGTGGGAACAAGCCGTGCATCAGATGCTGTAAGGTGCTTTCTCCCTGTGCACTGGTGGCCCAGCATGTACTTGTGCTGTAGTTGGGCTTCCTGGAGAAAACACAACACGAGTGAGACTTCAAACGTTGCAGTGCTCACATTCACATGCCGCCCTTACCTCAATGCGGAGCGAAATCGAGCTGCAATCACAGGCAGAGCTCAGTGACATTTATGTGTAATTATGATGATTATACTTTATAAGAGCCTAATTCTGCAAATTCTCAGATGTGTTGGCGAGGCACTGCCCTGTGCCAGTCGGTGGCAGAGGACAGGGCTGGGTGCCCCGCGGGTGCTCAGCAGTCGGTGTGTGGCTGCGCTGCTGTGATTTGATACATGCACAAAAAATGACTGCAGGGGAAGGAGAGGGCATAATGCACACTGAGCTTCATTTCATGCAGAAAGCGATTGGATTCAAAAGTTTGCTTGGCAATAAAAATAGTACTTATGTAGTATTTGCTACTGCAGTAAACAAACAGAGGGATGGGGACCTGAAGCCTGCAGCCCTGGGAGCATCATGCTCAAAGCATTTGTGGGTAACAAAATGAGGTGAGGGAGAGTCGTGTTGTGCTGTCATTGATGGAGGGGTTTGCTGGGCTTTAGGGGCCAGCAACTGAAGAGAGCACTGTGATGCTCGTGAGCACCTACTTACTCTGCAGGCTTAGGCTGCATTGGAGCACCCTATGTTCCAAGCAGCTGGAGTTGCAGTTTGATGGTCAATATTCTAATGGGAGGCTGTGTTCAGTAAGAATGATGGTGTTCTTGGGTCATCAATGAACTCTGAAATGAAGTTGTTTTGTCTCTGGTGGAATTAAAGACTTAAAATGTCAATAGTACTTAGATGTAGAGAGTGCTCAGTGCTTTCTACCACAAAGCATTGCTGTGAAATACTTGATTTTCTGCTGTCAATAAACCCCTTCCTAGAAAACTTCAACAAAGTAAAGTTATGTGCCCGTGGTAATGGCATCCCATGTGGAGCTGCTGCTGGAGTCATTGCTCCCAGCCTGTCTGGTGTGCACATCTCCAGTGCTGCCATCTCAGAGCTCATACTCAACCAACGTATTCCTCTCTGGGATGTGCAGTGCTTCCCTGAGTGCCCTGGGAGGTGCCTTTTTGTGCTCCTCGCTGCCAGCAACTGCCTTTCAATTCCATGCAGCTCAGCTCTTTGTCCAGCAGCCTGCCTTGTAAGTCAGGGTTACCTGCCAGCAGGTTCTTGAAATGTGTTTAAACAAAAAAGAAGTTTGGACTGGGAGCTGACAATGTTTCATTATTACTGATTGTTTTTTTTTGTCCTTCTCTGTAGCAACTTCTGTAGAGCTGAGGACTGGGCTGCAAGGCTCTGAGCAGTGAGGTGGGGGGTGTGTGTGCCACTGCCCTGCTGTGCCCCCCCAGGGCCACTTGGTAGCCATGTTTTCTGCCAGGATATTGCACTGCCAGGCCTGTATGGCTGCTGACCAGTGTTTGCCTCCCCCCTTATCTAGCAGCAAGACAATTCCAGCCTCTGTAATTAATGAGTCTCTCCTGCTGGGGCCGTGGGTGAAACATCAGCACAGGAAATTGGCCGGGCTAAGCGGTGGCTGTGTTGCATCCCAGCTCTGAGGCAGCATGCAGCCAGCTGAGATGAATTGCTGCTCGGATGCTGAGCCATTGATCATCCTCAGGTCTGCAGGCAGGCACACGAGCTGCCCCCAGTGCTGTCCTCCCTCGACGTGGGGCCTTGTTTTTGCAAATGCCCCACGTGCTGGTGGATGGATGAGAATAGGTTGTGGGTCCGCACCTCAGAGGGCAGCTCATGTGACAGCCCTGAGAGCAGAAAGGGCCTGGCACAGTGATGCTGTGTGCTGCTGTTGATTAAGAGGAAAGCCAATTTATGCGGCCTGTAGTGAAGCATGAGATTAAATATGCAGCAGGCTCTTGATTGTTTCAGATGTGGTGCTTTGAGCTGTTGAGAAAAGCCTTTCCTTGGGAGGATCCTGACGGTGTGGGCCTGAAAGATGGGCTCAGCTGTCACCCTGCAGCATCACTCGCTCCTACAGCATTACCTCGTGCCATACACAGGGGCAGAGGAGATGCAGTGCATGGAGCTCAGCTCTGTGCCTCCGTGCCCCAGCTCCTGAGGAGAGATGCTGGCCTTTCAGACAGCTTCCTAAAAATTCATGGGCACTAGAATAATCCCTGGCCTTACTGGGCTCTTTTTGGAGGTGCTGCATGTCCTGTGCTTTGGGACTCCCTCCTAGCTGCAGCTCC